GTGTCTGATAACTGACACCCCTTGCTCTGAATTATTGCATCAAAATGTCTGTGCTGTTGCAATCTTGAGTGTGCTGTTCAGGTGTGTGTAAGCTGCAAAGCCACAATGACGCAGCAGCAGCAGAACTGGAAGAAGAAGCAGAAGGCAGCCAGTTCCGCTGCGGGCCTGAAAGAAGCCCTCCGGGGGCCTGATCCGGCCCCTGGGCCACATGCCTGATCCGGCCCCCGGGCCACACCCCTGCTCTACATGGATCGAGAGTGGTGTTACCTAAAGGGCCATCTCCCATATAGTCCTGCCCGGGTATTAAGATGACAGGAAGGGGACCTCTTGTTGTTGTGGTTGTTGTTCAGTCGCTCAGTCGAGACCGACTCTTCGCGACCCCGTGGACCATATCACGCCAGGCCCTCCTGTCTTCCGCCGTCCTCCGGAGTTTGCTCAATTCCATGTCCGTTGCCTCAGGCCCGTAGCTAACAACTTTTTGCTCGGGGGGCCCATGTTTTTCTCAGGGGGCCCACCACCAATGTTCCCTCTAAGCTGTGGAGTTTTGTGAGTAAAACTTCTACCTTGTGAGCTACTGCCATTAAAGTTGTGAGAGAGCAATTTGGCTGCTCAGGGTCTTCTCCAGTGGGTGCTCCCTTCTCCTTGGGTGGCCAAAGTATTTGAGCTTCAGCTTCAGTATCTGTCAAACAATACTCCAGGTGCAGCCTGACCAATGCAGTGTACAGCGGGTGGAGGTGATGACTTCTATAGTCAAGAAAGCTAACACTTAGACAAAAAAAACTCTCTGAAAGGAGACCAGTTTCTTGACACAGAGTTAGATGGTATCCTAGAGGTCACCTACTCCAACCCCCTTGCTCAGTGCAGGAATTAGTCCACTGCAGCACCCCACTCTGCTTAAAGGAGGGTACACCTTTAGAAAAATGTTTTTAAAATGATTGAAAAAACCATTTGCAGGAGAAATCCTAGTGGGGCTGTGCCTTTAAGAAAGGGGGCGGAGCCCTCAATAGCCCCACCGTTTGGTGTAGTGGTTAAGTGTGTGTTTCATTCCCCACTCCTCCACTTGCACCTGGCTGGATGACCTTGGGCAAGCCGTAGCTCTGATAAGAGCTGTCCTTGAAAAAAGAGCAGTTTCTGTCAGAGCTCTCTCAGCCCCACCTACCCCACAGGGTGCCTGTTGTAGGGAGGGGAAGGGAAAGGAGTTTGTAAGCCGCTCTGAGACACCTTTGGGTAGTGAAGGGCGGGGTATAAATCCAAAACTCTTCTTCACTCTTCTTCTTTTCAACACCTCATACTTTGCCTGCACCTGGACTCAGGTTCGAATCTCTGCTTTGGGTTCAATTGCCCAAGTAAAAGGGTCTCAGATAGCAGCAGCGGTTGCATTCAGGGTGGAGCCAGCCTATTTTGTTATTATCACCTTGGGGTCCCATCACTGTGTACTTCTGTTGGGTTAACAGAAAAGAAGAGAGATATTTACAAAATCTAATTTCTGAGGGGTGGGTGGTTGCTAATTTATTTCTCTGCCTCGAGGAGCCGACTGTAGAGAAAATAAACAGAACGGAGGTCACCGGAGCATTGGTCTGTTCAGATATCCTGCTGCAACCGTTTCTCATTTTAAAGCTAAAGGAAACTGGTTATTCGAGGGAACTTTTGAAAATGACTTGCAGTACAGGGAAAGCTTGTGGTATTTTAAGCAAGTCTGAAA